GAAAAATTCTCCATAATATGTACCATGTGCATAGTAAATAAGAACATTAACTCTAGAGTCTTAGGTATGTGAGTGAAAAGTCCAGGGTCACCAACTGCTAGATAGGTGGTTTTCGACACTGATCTCAGACTTACTCTCTTTACACCAAATCCGGTTTCCTTATCTGTAAAAGAGGGCTATTGAAAGGCTTGAATTAACAAATGAGGAGCTGATTAACTATGAAAATCAGATTAAACACCTTTCACTAGAAAGCCTGGCTGAAACATAAGCCGGCCTATAAGTAATGAAGAGGTTCCTACATTTTGTATGAAAAGTATAACTCACTCGAAGATGGTAAAAACATTCCAATTCCAGGGGTCTAAGTGGCTAAAAAAATAAGTTATTTTATTTGGGAAATGAAGTCATTCAGTAATACAACAAACCACCTTCCTTATCCCCCCACTCTAGAATTCCTAGTATTCAGACCTGACTGCTCCATTTTTTAACAATCCACAGTCCTAAATAAATAAATAAATAAAAAACTGTCAGCTAACCAAATTACAGAATAAATTTTTATCTTATCTAAGAGATTAAAGCACATGCTTTATTCTGCTCTCTTTGCCTATGAGCTTAGTTTGTGTGTGTGTGTGTGTGTGTGTGTGTGTGGTTTTGGAGGGGGGTGGGGGAATAAAATCTTTTTTAAAGTATAGCTGACAGGGGTGCCTGGGTGGCTCAGTTGGTTAAGCAACTGCCTTTGGCTCAGGTCATGATCCTGGAGTCCTGGGATCGAGTCCCACATCCGGCTCCCTGCTCAGCAGGGAGTCTGCTTCTCCGACCCTCCCCCCTCTCATGTGCTCTCTCTCTAGCTCATTCTCTCTCTCAAATAAATAAATAAAATCTAAAAAAAAAATAAAGTACAGCTGACATACAATGTTACATTAGTTTCAGGTGTACAACTTAGTGATTTGACAAGCTTAAACATTATGCTATATTCACTACATGTGTAGCTACCATCTATCCCGTAACACTGGTATTACAACATCACTGCCTATAGAATTGAGGGTTTTTTTTGTGAGCTTAGTATTTTTCTTAACATTTTTTTCCCCTAGATTCCACATATAAGAGAGATTGTTGGTATTTTCCCTTTCTGTCTGACTTACTTTATTTAGGATAATGACTTCAAGGTCAATCCATTTTGTCCCAAATGGCAAGATTTCATTTTTTTTTAATGGCTGAGTAATATTCCTTTGTATATCCACCACAATTTCTTTATCCATTCATCCACTGATAAACACTTAGGGTGTTTCCATATTTTGGCTATTGTACGCAATGCTGCAATGAACACGGGAGTGCATATATAATTTCAAATTAGTGGTTTTTAAAATTTGGATAAACACCCAGAAACAGAGTTGTTGGATCATTTGGTAGTTCTATTTTTTTAAGTTCTTGAGGCACTTCCATACTGTCTTCCAGGGTGGCTGCACCAATTTATGTTTCCATCAACAGTGCAGAAGAGTTCACTTTTCTTCACATCCTAGGCAGCAACTCTTATGCTAGTCTTTTTGATAACAGCCATTCTAACAGGTGTGGGGCGGGATCTCACTGGGGTTCTGATTTGCATTTCCCTGATGATTAAGGATGTATAGCGTCTTCTCATGTTCCTGTTAGCCATCTATATGTCTCCTTTAGAAAAATAGCTATTCAGATCTTCTGCCCATGTTTTAGTTGTTTTTTTTATTTTGCTATTGAGTTGTATGAGTTCTTTATAATTTGAATAGTAGCCCCAATTGGATACATAATTTGCAAATATTTTCTCCCAAGTCAGTAGGTCACCTTTTTGTTTTGATGTTTTCCTTTTCTCTGCAGAAACTTTTTAGTTTCATATGGTCCCACTTGTTTATATTTGCTCTTGTTGCTTTTGCTTTCAGTGTTAGATTAAAAAAATCATCGCCAAGAACTATGTCAAGGAGCTTACCGCTTAGGAGTTTTATGGTTTCAAAACTTACGTTAAAGTCTTTAATTCATTTTGAGTTTATTTTTGTGTGTAACACAAAAAACTGGTCCAGTTTATTCTTTTATGCTTTAGCTTACGCATTTGCCTACAGTTAATGTGCTATTTTTAACGAGTCTTCTTTACTTATGGAAAGCAGGTCGAACAAGAGTTAGCAATTAGTTAAAGAGCATGTAGTTCAAACAAACAGAAAAAGGAGTTTGTACTGTATAATCGCTAAGGATCCATCCTGGTCACAGTCCCTTTCTCAAAAAATTCAGCGTCTAGGAAAAGAGAAAATTTGAGGCAACAAATGTATTGCATTACCATGCAATAACTACCATCTTACACTAGACAAAATGGAGAGATGATCATTTCTGCCTAGGACAAAGGAGAAAGTGTTAGGCTATTATATCACATAGATAAAAACAGAAAACTAACAATTAAAAGGTCACTGGCAACTTCTAAGATCCAGAATCAAAGGGAAAATTTACTTTGCATTGTGTTGCAAAGGGAACAAGGCAGGGAGGTGTAGAAAATCTCTTTGAGATTGATTAAGGTTAAAAAGGTTATATTGGAGAAATCAAAACCTGAGCAAATAGATGAGCATAGGGGTCTTCACACTCCTACAAAAGACAAATATTCATATAATGCACTTAAAGGGTAATCTTCAAACAAATTCACATAAACCAATTGGTGATTTAATGAATGAGTGAAAACAGAGGTTTCCTTCTCCCAGACTTGTGCCAAGGGTCAGATTACCATAATACTAAGGATCACCGTATACCATACACCATGAATGCAATTTTCGAAAGCTCTCTCTGTAATCATCTAAGAGAGAGAAAGTAATCCAAAATTTAACATAATTAAATGTCAGTCTTCTTCCTTTTTTGCCAATTCAAAGTCACAAAAATTGATACCTACGAACACTAGTAGCTCTGTTTTGTTCAGGGTAAATGATTAAATATCTTTGCTCCCAAACCAACTGCCTTTCCAGAACTGTGAAATTCCAAAAACCCACATACTTCATCACAGAGAGAACAACAAAAACAAAAAAACCAACTATTTAGAAAAATTCATTAGTGTTATAAGACTACAAAGGACACAGTTCCTTAATATCAGTGGAAGGCAGTAGGTTTGGAATACCAAAAATCTCTTCCTTTATTTTGGTATTTCAAATTTTTCAGATTTCTCCACATCCTAGTGGAGATTATAGTAAGTCATCAAGAACCAAAGTATACAAAAAGTTTAATTCAAAAAGGATACAGCCCATATTCATGTACCCTTCTAGCGTGAGAAAAGTCTCTTAAACAGATAAGACTGCTTAATTCGAAGGGACAAAGTTTGAAACTTAAGCCTGTTTTCTATTTTGTTGGCATTCTTAAATATAAATTGGGAATTATTACCGAGGATTTTAATTTAAACTTAAAAAAAGACATCATCCTTGTCAAGTTACCTAATCCAAATTCACTTAAGTAGTTACAAGAGTGAACTCTATTTGAGTAACAAAACAAGTCTGTACAGGAGCAGAGTTAAGATGTGCACTCCTATTTAAAAGTACAGTCGGCTGAAAAACTTCTCCAGATATAACAAGTTTATGTGTAACTCTTTCTGTGGAGCTGAAGAAAAAGCAGCCTTACTTTAAAAGCTCAAAGGAACTGACTTTTCTAACCTCACTGCTCATTTCTCGGACAGGTGCAGCCTTTGCCTAAAGCCCTCCCTCGATCAAGCCCCCCTCTCAGAAAAGGTGTCTCCTACACACAATTTATTTCGTCGCTATAACATTTGGTTTCTAAGCCACAAAGGGATTCCTTCTGAGCGGAGAGGATAAAAAGCACAAGAAAAGGGAAGATCAGGCTGTTTTATTGATCGACCAATTCAGGATCTCACTTGGAGATCCTGTTTAAACACACATCTCTAAAACACCCCAGTATTTGGTGTCACAGGACAAGGGGATCTCTCGGGATAAACCAGGCGAGGTGCTGAGGATTTAGTAGTTGAAACTACACAGGCAGCAGCTCCCGGATTCTTATCAAAACAATAGCGAGTGGCACATGTCAGGCAGCCCACATGCGCAGGGGGATAAAAAGAGGAGACTGGCTGAGGCTGGAGTTGAACTTGTCTTAACCCCCTCCCCCAACCGCCACCGCCGCCCTTGGTACTACGCGAAAGTGATAACTACGGGCGCCCGGTGCCCCGCTCTCTCCCCCTTCTCTCCACACCCCCCCCACCCCCGCCCGAACCCGACTTCTTCCTCACCAAGGTCTCCCGGAGGCGGAGACGCTGAGTTCTCCGGGGCAGGGAGTTAGTCACCAAGAAGAGGTGGTGACAGAGCACTCAGCTCGCGTCGCACACTCCGAGGCCTAGCCGCACCGGACGGAGAGGCCGCCAGTGGAGGCTCTCGTGTCCCGGGCCCCACTGCCCCTGGCCCGCCAGGGAGCCCCCTCCTTCCCCGAGTCTCAACTCCGCTCCCTCCCTTCCTCCCTCCCTCCCTCCCCTCCCCTCCCTTAGGCAGCTCCAACGTCAGGCTCCACTGTCGACCGAGGAGACGAGCCCAGCCCGGCCGTTTCCTGCCCCCGGGGGCGGGGATTCCCTCTCCCGGCCGGGGGACGGGGGCCCCGTGCCACTGACCCGAGCGGGGATCCCCTCGGCCGCCGGGCGGGGATCCCGGAACTGGCCCCGGAGTGCGCGTGTGGCCGAGGCGGGGAGGGGCGAGGCGGGGAGTTTCCGCTGTTTGGCGGCCGGGCGGCAGCCGCGGCTAGAAGCGGTCCCCACGGCCGGCCGAGGACCCCAGCTTTCTCGGCCCCGGCCCGCACTCCCCACGCGCGCCACGGCCGGTCGCGCCGCCCGGGGACCCCGCGCAGTCACCGGGTCGGGCTCGGGGCACAGAGAAACGCGGGCCCGCGGTCAGCCGTCACTTTCAAGTCGCCCCGCCAGAAGCCCAAGGCGAGGAAAAGGAGAGAGACAAAAGGACGCTGGGGAGGGAGTCCCCACACTCCCTCGCACCCCCCGCGCCCGGCCCGGCCCTTACTCGTAGTGGCGGAAGATCTCGTTGGTGACTTTACAGTAGAAAACTTCCTCGTCCGGCCGCAGGTCCGCGGGCGGCTTCTGTCTCACAAACGGCTTTCGGTGTAGCAGCGGCATCTCCTGTCCGCCCGCGGGCTCACCCGGACCCTTGGCCGCCCGCGTCGGCCCCGCTTCCCTATCAAAATTGGAGGGAAAGGAAAGCCGGTAAGGTGGGGAGCGCTCGGCGGCGGCGTGGGCCAGTCCGCGCGCCGGGGGAAGCTCGACTGCCTTTTGTGTGACTGACGCGCCCGCGGCTGCCACCGAAGCCGAGGTCGCTCCTGCCGCTACTGGGGTATTGAGCCAGCCGAGCCGCCGCCTTTGCCCTCCCAGCGCGCCCCACCTCCGCACGCCCGGCTGCCGGCTCACAATGGGGCCGCACGCCCCGCCGCGGGCGGGCGGTGCGGGAACGGCGACGGCCCCCTCCCCCAGCGCCGGCTCCCAGCCCGCCGCCGCCGCCGCCGCCGCCTCGGGCTCGCAACGTGCTTGGCGCGCAGCCGGCCGGCCCGACGCCGCGAGGAGCTCGCTGCGGGCGGACCCCGGCGCCGCTCCGCTTTGTTCCCCCGCTCGCCTACACTTCCCTGCCGGCGCCGGCCGGCTCCCGAACGACCACACGGAGCCCCTCACCTGCGAGCACGCCGACTGCCACTTCTCCACCTTTTCACCTACAAAGGCGGCGAGGGGAGTCTCTGTCCTCCCGGGGGGTCGCTTCTCGCCGGCCCCGCCGCGCCGCCAGCCGCCGCTTCTCCCGCTGCCACGGCCTGGCTCCGCGCGGGGGATCGCGTCCCACCGCCACTTCCCCGCCTCTCGGAGCTCCTGGGAAGTTTCTGATCTACTTTCGGCTCAGAAGGAGGAAGAGCTGTTGGGAGGAGCTTTTCACTTCTCGCTTCTACCTTTTTATTGGCTACTCGATGACTTTTACAGCCTGTCACTGATACAGGAAGAGACGGCGGAGAGCCTGGGAGAGCTACATTATTAATTAATGGAGCAACCCCTTGTGTAGAATCAGAAGCATCCTCCATGTTTGAGATTATCAGCCAAGAGATCTAGGGAAGGCGCTGGGGTTTCATAAACACATGGCTAACAAAGTAAAGCCTTCATCTTCAAGTCTGGCACCATCGCTTGGTTTCACGGTGGGGAAAGGATTCCAATTAAGATTTAACTTTTATTTTAAAGATGGGAAGAGAAATGAGGAATAAAATAGTATTTTGATATTTAACTCCAAATTAGAATTTTCATGTCTAAAAAAATATTTTGCTTGTGTAAACATCCTCCTTGAAAAGAAAATACCTTTCTTGACAGCAGTTCTCGTTAACATTTAAAGAGGGCAACTCAAAGATTAGCAGAGGAAAAGACCAAAAAAGTATGTTAGAAAATGTCATCATGCCTGTAGGACCCCCACACATTTAAAACTGAAAAAACACACCTTTAAAAAGTAATATTTGAAAAAAAAGTAATTTTGTAATACGCCGCTGGAAATATTTTGCAAAGTATCAATATTCAATTCAATCATACAGAATTTTAAAGGTTATGGATTTACTAGTGAAATTTCCCCTAAAGCAACTTTCCCATATCCACAATTTCCATTTGTGAAACTAATTTTAATGCACATAGTACATGTGACTTTTGAATTAAAAGGAATTTTTGAAACTACAAATAATTCCAAATGTTTGCCAGCTTTGTTTTAAGTGGTCTTTTTTGCTACTGCCCTTGACATTTGCTTATTTGTGGATTAACATGTAAGAATGAATCTATTAAGACGGTAGGTTTGAAGAACGGTCGTTCAACGAAGGACAGAAGTACCAATACTGAAATCACAGTTATAGAAACAATGTGGGATCATCTTTACATCTTCAAATTAAGTACATGTGTACATTGGAGCAGAAAATGTAAGGGATCTATTCAAATTGCAAGTTACAATTTTTTAATTTCTTTCAAGATACTTTTATGACAGCTAGCAAAATAAAATTTGTGGAAGACACAATATACTTTGAGTGTTTTAAAAATCATTAGTAAAATTAATGCACCTTACTGTACGGATATAGAAATTGCAGAGGCTTGGAAATGTTCTCAGTACTAACTATATTCTTTAGTCTGGATAAACTCTCCAAAAAATTATGCACTCATTTAAACTGGCCTTGTACTTGAGTGACAATTTAGAATTCCCTACCTAGAAAGTATTTAATTTTCCAGGTGAAAATTTAGAACCCAGAAAGGTAATCTCAAAAGAGGATCATGGAGGATGGATAAATTTATAAGTGCTAATGAAGCATTACTCTCACAATTCAAAATCCCAACTTAACTGGTAAGCTAAAAACAGAGGAAATTTTCTCTGAATATATAATATTTGTATTTTTTAAAGCTCACTATTTTTTTTAGTTTTAATTTAAATTCTAGTTAACATACAGTGTAATATTTCAGGTGTACAATATCATGATTCAACACTTCCATACCTCACCCGGAGTCTTTGAGCTCACTATTTGATAAGGTGTTAAAATTTTGTTAAAATCATGATCAAAAATGTTGATTTTATTTTTATTAAATACAAATTTTTAAACAATTGGATTCTTTTTAGTACTAATTTAAAATTGAAATTTTATTCTACTTGATCATAATACTATTTCCCTACTACCATATGCAGATTTCAATAGTCATACCATCATAACTCAATTCTCTGAGTTACATACATAGGATTTATCTTAATGATTTGTGATATTTAATAATGTTATATAGTTGTTAATTGTTAATTCAAAATAATGTAAGTTTAGTAAATTTTAATTAACATTAGTTTAGTTTTGGTGTATTTATACTACTTGATCAAATTGATAGCCTTTCTAAGTTACCTCAAAATAATACTTCTTTTAAAGTTATCCTACACATTTATTACTGAAAGCTTACCTAAAGTATTTATTTCATATTTTAGTATCATGATTACTTCTTTATTACTACTTCTAGGCTTTAGAGAATGAAAAGCTCATTGCTATTTCAGGAGGTAGTTAAGGATACTGTCATGAAATAAGACTTTGTGTAACAAAAAATTGGAAATATTGTAAACTGAAAATTAAAGTATCACATAAAAAAGAAAACAATGAAATTAAAATCATTTAATTTTTTAACAGTTTAATTAAACATTTATCAGGCTTTTCTTATGTGCTAAGACACTACTAGCTCCTGGGATACACTATAAATATATCCTGGCCTTAAAAATCGTACAGTCTGGGGCGCCTGGATGGCTCAGTTGGTTAAGCGTCAGACTCTTAGTTTCGGCTCAGGTTATGATCTCCAGATTGTGGGATTGAGCCTGCATCGGGGCTCTGGGCTCAGCATGGAGTCTGCTTGGGATTCTCTACTTCTCCCTCTCCCTTTGTCCCTCCCACTGCTCACGCTCTCTCACTCTCTCTCAAATAAATCAAATATTTTTAAAAAATGTACATCTTACAGGAAAGACAAAAACAAGAATCGTGTGAGTACTAACGATCATGAGTAATATAATGCAAAAAGAGAAGTAGAAAAGATTAGAAGAAAGTATAGAAGGAGGACCCAGGATCTGTCTCAAATCAAGTCATCTTATACGGCGCAAGATTTGAAAGACAACAGAAAGCTCACGTTCCAGCATTTCCTCACAGGTCTCAGGATGCAGCCCCCCACCCTCTATTAGTCATCCCTCTGGGTGAAGACACCAATTGCCCCTGCTTAAATGTAAAATGTAAATATGCAAATTAGGCAGGACATATATTAGCCTAATATCATCAAGACATAGTTTAATATTTGAGAAAGCATACTGCCTTATGTAAGTAAAAACAAGACAAATCTACGAAATATCTATTTTAAAAGCTTGAGCTAGAATACTTTTCCTGTCATCTATTGACTGATTAAGAAAGGCTGTACTTAGGTGGCTTGGTGACACAGTAATTACTTAGAGCTGAAAGAATTGTTTGGGAACTCTTAATTCTCTCATTTTGCAGCTGAGGAAACTCAAGCTCAGGAAATAAAATCTAGGCCTCTTGACTCTGTCCAGTCTGTTTAGACCACACTGCTTTTCCCCTTGGATTTGATAATATCTAATTTTCTTGTATACCCATCTCACACTGTATCTATAAGTGAGCTAAAATACCATTCCAAATCCTTCCCAAACTGTTAAAATGTGTAAGGGGATAAGCTATATTACTCATGATCAGAGATAATAATTTATTTTTGAGAATTATCCAAGAATTTATCTTTGAGAATGGGGATAATGAGAATCCTAACTTTGAAGAGCTGACCAGTCCTATCTCCCTGTTTCAGTTAACACACCTAACAAGTATAAACACTTTATATCCCTTACCTCTAAGGAGCAGTTATTAAAAGTACTTAAGTATAGTTGCCCTGAGCTCTTCTGAGAAAGAGGTCTTAGAAGTATATACAAGGAATATTTTCAACTTTGTTACTCTTTTCCTCAATATCTGTATCTGACATCAGTCTCAACTCTTTATGTTCTCTTAATGTCTTCCTCACTAATTCATGGCATTTGACTTACAAAAAATTTCCATGTATTGTTCTTTAGAAGCAATGAACATGTTTTCCTTAATATCTGAAACCACTGGCCTCATGTTAGGATAATGGTTCTAAACCTTAGCTGCCCATTGAAATCACCAGAGGGGTTTTTGAAAAACACTGATGCCTGAGCCATACATCAGGTCAGTTAAAACAATACCTGGGGTAGGGACCCAGGCATTGGGAGTTGAAAAATCTACTCAGGTGATTCTAATATCCTACCAAAGTTGAGAACTATGCTTAGAGGCGATTGGATACTAACATGGTAATGTTGGCAAATTTGGGATGCATTTTTTTATTCAACCCTTTGTGATTAAAGTCATGAATTATGGGATGGTAATAGCAGTTGAAAGAATAGTCTATGGCCATCATCATTATCACAATAGTTTACATTTAATGAATGATTGTAGCTTGTGAAGCATTGTCCTACCTAAGGGCTTTAAATGAATCATCTCGTGATTCTCACAAAAAACTAAGTATTATTTATCATTTCCATTTTACAGATGAAGCTGTTGAGGCTCAGAGAGGTTAATTAAGTAGCATACTCAATATCATACAGCCCA